TAGGAGGGTTCCCCTTTCTCCGCATCCTGGTCGACATCTGTCGTTTCCTGACTTGTTAATTTTAGCCATTCTGACTGGTGTGAGGTGGTATCTCATTGAGGTTTTGATTTGGATTTCCCTGATGCCGAGTGATGTTGAACACTTTTTCATGTGTCTGTTGGCCATTTGGATGTCTTCTTTGTAGAAATGTTTGTTCATGTCTTCTGCCCATTTCTTGATTGGATCATTTGTTCTTTGGGGGTTGAGTTTAATAAGTTCTTTATAGATTTTGGATATTAGACCTTTATCTGGTATGTCATTTGCAAATATCTTCTCCCATTCTGTGGGTTGTCTTTTGGTTTGGTTGACTGTTTCTTTTGTTGTGCAAAAGCTTTTTATCTTGATGAAGTCCCAATAGTTCATACTTAAGTTATTTTAAATAAGCATCTATTTACCATGTATTTGAATAATGTCGGCTTCAAGTAACAGAATTATTTACTCACATAAATATAAGTCTAGGGGCACCTGGGTGGCTCAGTGGGCTAAGTGTCTGCCTTTGGCTCAGGTCCTGATCTCAGGGTCCCAGGATCAAGCAGGTGGGGGTCCTGGCTCCCTGCTCAGTGGGAGGGTCTGCTTCTCCTTCTGCCCCTCCCCCAGCTCATACTCTCTCTCTCTCAAATAAATAAATAAAATCTTTTAAAAAATAAATAAAGATAGGTATAAATGGCAGACAAGGTTTAGGATCAGCAAAAATTCAATGACTTCAGCTTCATTTCTTTGTGGTCCATTGGTTGTTCATTACCTGTTTCCTTTTGGGCTTTACAACCATACACCATGGTGCTGAGAGGAAGGGAGAGAATTGTTTAAATAAACTCCAACAACAGTGAGAAAATATTCTTTCTAGAAGAACCCAGGAAGTCTTTTCTTGAGTCTCAGTGTTTTGGGATGAGTCACATGTCAATTTCTCAAGCAATGCCTGTGTAGAGGAAAATTCCAAGTCTAGGCATCCTTAAATAAAATACTTTAGCAAGACCCATGAGATTATCCTGAATACCTTAGGTTAATCAGAGCTTACCTGTGGAGGTGGGGGGGTCAGTCCCCCAAGCTGCGTATTACAAAGAGTGGGCAAAATTGAAATAGATGTACAGTTGTAAATCATAATGTCAGCTGCACAATATGTAAATCTTTTCTTGTGCACATTTTTGGAGGAAGCAAAGCATTTTATATCAATCATGTAAGCTATATTTTAGAAGATGACAAAAATGCTTAAGCTTGTCCTGCAAGCTGATATAACATTAGTTCTATTAAAATACTACATTTGCTTATATCAAGCCAAGGAACGTCACATTAGAGAACAAATGTGAAACATTCACCTATTTGAGAATTCTGTAGTATCTATGCTATTCACCTAGATAGCACTTAATGTTTTTGACAATTGGGATGTCATCTTTATGGTAATACATATAATTTTCTGCAGTGAGAGCAATATTCTGGCTGAGATATCCCTCTAGAGTCATTATTGAATGATGAGAAAAAAAAAGATTGCTTTGTAATAAGACTCATTGCCAATTCATTGGTTTCTCTTTTCCTCGAGTCATAATAAATGTGCCTAGAGATATTTATACATTGGGCCAAATTTTGCCTAGATTTCAGTTCTGGCATAAAGTTTGACTAAAGGCTTTTTCTATTTCATTGACTAACCTTATTTAGTGACCCAGGCCTTCTTTGCTTTGTGATTCAATGTCAAGGCATAGATTTCCCACTGGGTAAGATAACAAATCAAACAAAAGTAGACTTGAGACAGCGAGCTGGGTGAACAAACCTGTCTTCTCTTGCAGTACCTTCCAGAAGATTAACTACCTGCCTTATCTTTTCAGTCTGTCTACTCTCCTCTGGATTTTGGCCAGTTTGAGTCTTTTAATATTCTCTTTGTCATGGTGCTTTGGAACTGGTGACAAAAGCCCAGCTCTCTAAAGATCCTTGCAGTAATTGTGCACACATACATACACAGTAAATTTAGAGTGAGACTTTCTATAAGAATACATTTAAAGCAGCAGTCTTGGAGATCTTGGAGTTGCTCCAAGGGAATCATGGAAATGAAATGAGATCTTTCTCCTTGTGACTGTCAACATTTTCAGCATGGTCGCCTTACCTCCCTGTTACCATCTGTTCCTCACCTCATTGCCTGATTGTCTCATTTTCCATTTTGTCATTATTTCTTCCATATCTCAAATCTGAAAAAAGACAGACCATAAATCTAAGTGAATAACAATATTACCTTCTATGTTAGTGATTCATTCTGTCAATATTTACCGAGGACTTCTGTATGCAAGGCTCTAGGAAGGTATTTCAAAAGATACAGAAATGAGACCTAAAACTTCAAAAAGCTTTGCTAGGGAAGGCTTATTTCAGGCTTAAACAGAAATGCCATGTGAAAGGAGTAGGTAAAGCACATGGCCACTCAAAGGAGAGAGAGTAAACGTGTAAATAGGGAGATAATGGTATCAAAATTGATCCTATATGTTCTAGGGTCAGTGTGTGGAGACAGCCTGTTGCCCCAAATATTTTTTTTCCATCTACTTTTTGATGCTTAACATCTGCTGTGCCACACAATGATTCTCTCTAATTATAGGTTTGATCTTTACTGAACTACTCATTAATGCTTAAATCATTTCTACCTCAGGGCAAACAATTGGGAGTTATTTAAGCCCACCTGTTTTATTCCTTCTCTCTGGCTATCAGCAAATAGAGGAAGCCTTGAAACTGTACTACTCTACTGTCACCCTCTCTGCCTTAGGAATATCTTCGTGGATACAATGGGAGAGTTGCTTCTTCCTTTATGCTCTCCATAGTATTCTACATGTTTCTCTATTATAGATTGTAGGGCATTTTACTGCAATTACCTACTTCTACATTTTTCTTCCTCATTAGATGGTGAGTCCTTAAGGACAGGGACTGGATCCTGAGCATGCCTGTTTTCTCAGCATTTTTATAGAGCCTGAAAAACAATAGGTACTCAGTAAATGTTGGTTGAATGAATGAATGAATGAATGAATGAATGAATGAATGAATGAATAAGCAAATTAATAAAGTAGCCTAACCAGGGCGCCTGGGTGGCTCAGTTGGTTAAGCAACTGCCTTCGGCTCAGGTCATGATCCTGGAGTCCCGGGATCGAGTCCCGCATCGGGCTCCCTGCTCGGCAGGGAGTCTGCTTCTCCCTCTGATCCTCCCCCTCTCATGCTCTCTGTCTCCCATTCTCTCTCTCAGATAAATAAATAAAAAATAAAAAATCTTAAAAAATAAATAAATAAAATAAAACAAAAATAAAGTAGCCTAACCTGTAGTCTATACTTATTGGAATCCATGACCTGGAACTTCATGATACAGAGATAAAATGAATAATGTTTTTCAACTGCTCCTTGCCAGTTCTATGGAGCCAGCAGGGCGGGGCTTTCCATTGCTGTCACTCTGAGGGGAGCCATAAGAAAAAAAGGAGCATCATCGTCCCATCTCCGCAGAACTCCTTCCAGTTTGAGAGCACACACTGTTTTCATTTTCCTTGCAAAGACAGTGTGCCACTCACTCAACACTCCCCACTACTGTTAACTTACTGATGCTCCAGAACCTTTTTGTCCTGAGACTTGCCTACACATAAATTTATTATGACAGAATCTCAAACATGCACAGAAGTGAAGAGAATATTACAATGAATCTCCATAAACCTATCACCTTATTTTAATAATTAGCAAGATTTTGCATAAATGATTCTCTTTCTGAAGGCTCATACCCCAAAAGTAGAGAGGTATAAGAGGGACTTCACATCATTCCAACTTTCCACTTGGCACAATTTCCTTGTGTTTTGGTGATAGTTTCAGGACCTTAATCTATTCAGAATTTTTTAAACTGGTATCTGGATACCTGTAATTTGTACAGATTCACCCCAAAATCCTGAGATCCTCAGTCTAACTTAGATTGAAATAGGCTCAGAACCATTCAAAGGTTCTCAGCCTTCCCAAGGGAAGAAATGTTTCCCAAGCGCTAAAGTGTTCGGAAAGCACATGGTGACTCTGAACTTTCAGTGCCATGATCGAATCAGGCAAGGTTTGTATAATCAGAATTTCAGTTTAAGACAAACTTGGGCAGAATTCCTAGCATTTCCTTATAGGGTATGGGTGTTTGGTTGTAGGATGTGACAGAGAAAATTTCTTTATATAGATCCAACATGTATTACTTAATAGTTACTGAGAGATCTCTTTAAAATAAACTAGTACCCCTAAAGTGGCTTCACCCAAGGACAGCAGGGAAAAGGATCAACTGTGGCCAGAGTGTCTTTACACTGTTTGGATGCAAGGTATACCAGTTCTTCTCTGCAACTCTCTGGGCTTGGCATCTTATTTTTATCTCACCAATATGTTATAAAGCTACGCTTCTTTTCTATTTATTATTCTAAATTCCAAGTCAACCTCTTACTAGATGAAATAAAAGTACTAAATAAGATTTAAAAATAATAAAACAATCTCTTGGAACTATAAAACACAGTAGTGAGAGAGAAAGAAAAAGATGGTAAATAGCATATATACTTATTTACCTAATGTGAAGATTCTGTTTATAACCAAGTAAAAAGGAAAAATGTCATACTTGGGGGGCACCTGGGTGGCTCAGTTGGTTAAGCGACTGCCTTCGGCTCAGGTCATGATCCTGGAGTCCCCGGGATCGAGTCCCGCATCGGGCTCCCTGCTCAGCAGGGGGTCTGCTTCTCCCTCTGCCCTCTTCCCTCTCATGCTCTCTGTCTCTCATTCTCTCTCTCTCAAATAAATAAATCTTAAAAAAAAAAAGAAAAGAAAAAAGAAAAATGTCATACTTGGTACAGAATAGGAAACAGAAAAACCAGTCATAGAAATACAATATGTTATATTTAATGCACTAAAACTTAAAATATAATCAGGAATAAATGATTTTTTATTTTAATATTAAAAGAATTATATGAACTAGAAGGTGAAATCCTTCTATCACATACCGTAAAAACTTAGTCCCCCACAATTCTTGAAAAGGTGATCACTGATAAACATTTGATATGTATTCTTTCATACTTATTCTCTCTTATGTGTGTGGGTGCGCATGCACGCGCACCCCCCCACACACACACACAAACATGCATACACACGGGTTTTGATTTGAAGTTTGTATATATTTGAGGGCTCTAAGAAAAAGAACACAAAATTATAGAAACAAAATTAGGTACAATGATAAAAATTCTTAGAATGAGGAAAGGAAATATAGCAAATTAAAAAAAAATTTTAACAAATACCACAAAATTATAAAATCCAGGAAAAAATGGTTTCATTAACGACCTGACACACCTCTGTAATACTTATTCTTACATATTATTGGGAGATAAACAAGCAACTTTTATTGTGAAGTGTAGTTGACACACAATGTTACATTAGTTTCTGGTGTAAAACCTAGTGATTCAACAAGTCTATTATGTTATGCTGTGCTCATCACAAGTGTGGCTACCATCTGTCACCATGCAGTGCTATTACAGTATCATTGACTATACTTCATATGCTTTACCTTCCAACCCTGTGACTTATTCATTCCATAACTGGAAGTGTGTCTCTCCCACTCCCTTTCACTCATTCTTCCCATACCCCTACCCCCACCCCCATAGTTATAGCCTCTTCACATTATGTTTTCTCTCAGTATGAAGTATACTCTTAATAGTCATGTATAATCCTGATGTTATTTAGAAGGAATTTTTAAATCCAGTGAGAAAACTTTCTTCATTTCTCTGAGGTGTTGCTAGGTTCTACCCCAGAGTACAGTTCAATAGTCAGAAATAGAAACCCTTCCAAATGAGATAAAAGATGAAAGTAACTTGCTGCTTAAAAACACAAAGGCAAATTTGTCATTAAACCAAATTGGATTAGAAGACTACACCTTCTTTCCTCATTTTTTTCCCTCAGTATTGGGAAACTTGGGAAGCTACACAGAGAGAATAAAGGTTACATGAAAGCCTCTCCTTTAGGGAAGGCTTGAAAGAAAACTTTCTTGACATTTTTCTCCCCCCCTTCCCGTATGTTGAGTTACTTCAGCGCTCTGAACTGGGACCATTGCCTAGGGATTCCCAGTCGTGGCTATGATCATGTTTGTCAGAGGTCTGTCTTATGTCACTCTCTTCAAAGAACTAGTGTATGAATTTATTCATCCATAGTATTGCTTTTAAAATTTTGTACATTAATTTAAGTTTATGCCTTTATTTTATTTCTGGTTTTGAGTGAAACACTTAATAAATTTCCTCTATACATTTTCTTTTTAAATATTATAAAAAGAGTTATAAAAATTTTCCTCTCGCTACATCTCCCTGTCCTTAAAATAAAAAAAAAAAATTTCCTCTCAGCACACTCTGGTTGCATTTTTTAATTTTTATGTATACCGTTTTATTTCAGTTATATTCTAAATTGTCTATTTATATATTTCTTCACCTCTAAGTTTAGGGATTTTTTTTTTTTTAAGGTTAGATTTTTTTAGGTTCCCAATTTGCTCAGTATGTGTATGTGTGTGAGCATGCATATATGTAATTCTGATAATTGCTTTATTAAATTCTTATCAGAAAATGTGATTATCATAATTTCTGTTTGGGGAACTTGTCCATGTTTTCTTTGTAACCTGTGGTGTGAGTAACTTTTAAAAATATTGCTTGGACATTCTGGTAGGGAATTAGCATTTGGCCTATGAATTATATTTTTTAGAGAAAAAAGTAATAGTTTTTATTTTCTATGTATTCAGTATTCCAGTTCTTGGCAAATAAAGATTTAGACTATGAGATGTGCATTAGGATGTGCCTTCTATTAATATAAAACAGCTGTGAGCCATTTAGTGTTTTGGGGTCTTGACTTGTACCTTATATAAAGACAATGATCTTGGAGATTTCAGTGCTAAGTTAATGGAGAAATTGCTCTACTCATAATACCCCTGCATGCTGGCAGAATAGGAATGGCATGGGAAAGACCATGGAGAATTCTGCAAAAATAATGCTTTGCTTTTCAGAAAGGTGTTAGATTCCAGAAGGGATAGGCCTCACAAGGAAGTAAGAGGATTTAGGCCAACAGTCTGCTCTCAAGGTATTTTTTGATGGAATTTTAATAAAGAGTCTTAAAAAATTATTTTCTCAAAATTCTGTAGCAAGAAAGGAATTCAAACATTTTATCTCCTGAAATTCTCTGCTCAAAGTATCTCAAAATTTTCACTATTAGGATTATATATATTTTTAGAAACTCCCAATTCTCTTACCTATAATATCCTCATATATTTTTTCTTTCTCACGACTACCTAAATGCCTTTTCTTTCTCGATTGTCAGGCCTTCTCTAGTTGTATAACATCCCTCTTCTATGTGTTGACTGCCAACTTCTCAAAAGACCACCAGAAAAACTTGATTAAACAAAGCCACACCTGTAGATGTACTGCAGTAAGGGAGAACAGAACTTGCCCAAAAGTTTATTAATGATATTTCAAAATGGAGACATTACAAGAGGGTATTTAAAAGTATTTGGGGGCACCTGGGTGGCTCAGTTTGTTAAGTGACTGCTTTCAGCTCAGGTCATGATCCCGGAATCCCGGGATGGAGTCCCATATCGACCTCCCTGCTCAGCAGGGAGTTTGCTTCTCCCTCTGACCCTACCCGGTCTTGTGCTCTCTCTCTCACTCTCTCTGTCTCAATAAATAAATAAATAAACAAACAAACAAACAAACTCTTAAAAAAAAAGAAAAGGATTTGGGACCTGGGATATATCACTTTAAGATGGATCTGACAAGAAGGGGGAACTTCTTAGGACTAGACAAGATGACATAATATGACATAATAGTGTTGGATTAGTGGACAAAGCAAAGTGACAGTCTTGAATTAGTCTTGATGAGTAAGCTGTCTGGTCGGTTCACCATCTTAATTTCCAGAACAGTTACTGCAACTATGTTAATTTTTGCTCAGCCTCAGTATTGTTTAACCCAGGGATGGGGAATTAGGCTGGTTTGAGTTCACACTAGTCACTGTTTAAAATGCCCCCACCAACTTTCTTTCCATTATGGTTATTGCCTTTTTTCCCCTGCCAACCTCAAATCTACCTCACTTTCAAGATGTTTCAATTCCTCTTTCTAATCACAACCATTTATACCCTTTCCCCTCAGAAACACAAAAACAATTTAGGACAGAAAGAACTCTTATGACTGAGGGGACTATATCTCATCTCAGAAAGGAAGACTTCTTAATAGTCCTACAAAATCTGAAAATCATTCACTTTCCCTCTGACTGTACTTGTTACTCTGTTAGTCTTTTCTCATCCTTTTCCCCCTCCTTCCCTGCTTCCACTCACTGTTCAATTCTCTACACGTGAATTCCACTGTTCTCCATTCCACCTGTCCCAAACCACGCACAGAACAAATGAATGGAAGCCAGGCAAGAGGGGAGAGTAAAACATAGATAGAAAATAGAATCATGAATAGTAAGCACTCCTGGAAGCTGTTCTAAAGAATGGTTTTTTTCATGATGGATTCCCCTTTCCCAGTTTTCTATCTTGGTTTTTCTTGCAGATGATATATGAAAGTAATTAGGAAGACTTACTTGTTATAGAAGGAAAAGAAAAAACCAAAATATAAACTAATCCCCGAAAGAGCAGCATGGAGACTGTACTGAAACAGATTGCAATATTATTGTCGTGGTGTTATTTATACTTTTTCCAGGAAGGTGTGGAGGGAGAGCAGTAAAGCAGAAAGATCTTGCTTTATCCTTATTTCTTATATCCTCCTCCCCACTCCCATTTTTAAAATATTGAAAACTTTCAAACCTATAGAAAAATTGAAAGAATGATGGGACGAGCACCTATATGCCCCTCCCTTACATTCAACAATTTAAACACTTTTATAGAATACCTAGCAATAACCCTAATAGTAGTTAGCCCTAAATACCTCCACATGTATTTCCTAAGAATAATCACATCTTCCTACGTAGCCACAATACACCTCTCACCATTGTCATTATGTTGATGATTGGTGGGGGTTAGCACAGAATTAGACTCATTTCTCTATTGCACATGTAAGATACTCTACTAAAAAAGGGCTTGGTTCTTTACATTTAATTTAAAAATATTATGGGAATTTCAAATTTCTTCACTCAAAGAGTGTTTTGGAATGATCTTGTCTCTGGAAATAGGTTTGAGAATATTTTCCAGGTGATTTTAATACTCATATCTAGTTTTGAAAAGTGAAAGCCATTTTTTACTGTCCATTCTTTTATCTTTTTTCCGCTTTATTGAGGTATGATTGGCAAATAAAAATATATAAGGTGTACAGTGTGATGATTTGATATACATAGACATTGTGAAATAATTACCACCATCAAGCTAAAAAGTTTCTGCATAGCAAAGGAAAAAATCAAGAAAATTAAAAAGCAGCTAGTGGAATGGAAGAAAATATTTCACAATGAATTATTTTTCTAGTTGTAATTCTCAGATGGCTCCAGGGTTAAAGCATCCTGAGCAGAAACCCTCCTCTCCCCCAGGCTCAGAGATTACTAATGGGATGACTGTACATAAAAAAAAGAGGTTGAAAGATCCCTAGAGGATGCTAATAGTGAGAAGATGAGAAGGAACTTACCAAGGCTACTGGGTAGCCATTTTTAGTGAAGTATAGGGACACCAAGAAATACTTCCCAGGATGCAAGTGAATAAAATATATAAGGGGAGAGAACAAAAAGCAGTATCAAATTGTTGAAAGGTCAAGTAAAATGTGAGCTGAGAATTGACTTTGGCATACTGGAGTTTTCAGTGACCTTGACGTGAAAGATTATAGTTGAGTGGTGGAAGTCAAAACTGGAATGGCTTTGGTTTCAAAGGAAATAGTAGGGAAGATACTAGAGACCAGGTGTGTGAGCAACTCTTTTGAGGAGATATTTTATAAAGGGAGAAGAGATCTAGAACAGTGACTAGACTACAAGGGGGCATGTGTCAAGAGAAAGAGCTGCTAGGTGGGAGAAACCATATTTATATGCTGATGGGAATGATTAGGAGAAAAGGAAAATTGATGATATAAGGGAAAAAAGCCAGTTACTGGAGGAATTTCCTTGACTAGGTTAGAGAGCTTGGATCTAGGACACGTTGGACATAAGATAATTCTTATATATACATTTTTTTCAAGTAATTTGTACTGCAGTCTGGATGTATGTTCAAATTTATCTATCTTCCCAGCCATGAATTTAATTTTCTAAAATGGAAAAGTGCATTCTAATTAGTTTATCCATAAGAACAGGAAGGAAGCAGAGTACATGGATTCTTCTTATTCTTTATATATTCTCATTAGATTGAAAGCAAAGTCATTAGTTGAGGGTGAGCATTAAGAGAGGTGTAAAATGTTTGTGAAAGAAGGTATGAACTCATCTCTTAAGAAGGTGAATTGGATAAATATAGTGGGAAGGGAATAGAGATATGCTGTGGTTTGGAGTCTGGACAGCATTTTTATCTATGACGTCTGTCCAGAAAGAGTAATGCTCTGGGTAAAGAAGGCAGAAAGTGCAGCAATATGGGAAAATTGGTGAGAATAATTTCGTTTTTGCAGAAAGGAGGAGTGGGGTTGGGATGATCTGAAGGGAAAATAGGTACACTTAGTACTCCCATTTTATTCTGCGATCTTGGAGAATCGTCAAAAATTCAGGATATAAGTTTTGTGAGAAGAATGAAGAGTGGAACTGGTGACTTGTGTTAGAGAATGTCAGAGGGACCTTACTTATTTTCACCCTTTGGATGCTGTGTCTGGAGATGAACTCTCTGGTTAGGGTCCTTAGGTTCTTTGCGTGTACTTCCAGCTCTGTAATGGGTAAATCTGGAATCTTTACATCTGGGGATTGGATCCTACTTTCTTGTGCTCTAATAGGACTGAATAAAGATTTGCTAATCTTGTGATTAAAGGTGTATAAATCTAATAAAATTTCTATAATTTCTATAACTTCAACATAAATATGAGGTCAAATTAATGTGGAAAACAAGTTAAATCTCTGTGATCATGTAAACTATTCAACATAGACACTATTTCTCCTGAATTTGGTATATATTTCCCCAGTGAATTTGATACCCTTTCCATTTTGTCCTGCCAAGTGAAAGTTCACATTCTATTATCTGTCCAGTTGTGTGTATATCAAAATGGTTCAGGATGGTGTCTTGCATATTTGAAGATCAAAAATTGAGTAATGAGCTGATTTTCAGACTGAAAATGTATATAAGGTTTGTTATCAAATTTGGCAAATGGAAACCTTAACCTCTTAAGGATGGACATGATAGTCTTGGCCCAAAGCAAAGCTGACCCAAAGACAATTCTTTTTAAAGCTACACTAAGAATTTTTTTCTACAGAAACCTTTGTTAAATAACCTACATTAATTAGGGTAGACTTGGTTGTGCGAACAGATTTCACCATTTCAGTGATTTTACACAATAGAAATTTGTTTCTTGCTCACTCACTGGTACTGGGAGGAAGTTCAAATTGGGTTTGTTCTATTTCAGATGATCATTCAGAGACCCATACATTTTTCCGTGTTTCTGTTACCATTAGGGTCTTATAATCATGGATATCCCACTGGAAGAAATGAGAAAAGCCTGGAGGAGCTTGCAAGAAGTTTTATGTCCCAGGTACATTACAGTCACTTTTAATCATAATCTGAGTTGGCAAGAACTCAGGTACATGGTCATAACCTACAAAACATAACTCAGTAATGTTTAGGAAAAAGAGGAAGATGATTTTGATGAACTGTTTAGTCTCTGCCATACCATTGAAGGAGAGAGTGAGGATTTTGTTTATCAAAAGGCACTTGTGAGAGTTTCTGAAGAGATTTCTGACTTTTAAAATACACATTTTTAACAGAGGTTAATTCTTAAAGCTTTAAGGAAGATAATGGGTAGTGTGGGAGGGTGGCTCTTGCTGGAAAATCTGTAGTTTGGCTCACTTCTACCTCTTGGAGTTAGTGGGAGAGGAGAGAATTATAGGATACCAAGGAATGAAGACCCAAACTGGCGACCCTGATGTCTCCAAATTGTTTTTTTTTAATTATTATTTGAGGTATAATTGACATGTAACAATGTATTAGTTTCCGATGGACAACATAATTCAGTATTTATATACATTATGAAATGGTCACTACAATAATGTCCATTTCCACATAGTTAAAAAAAAATTTTTCCTGTGACAAGAACTTTTAAGATCTGTTCTCTGAAGCAATTTTTAAACATGCCATACAGTGTACTAACTGTAGTCACCATGCTATACATTACATCCCTATGACCTATTTATTTTTTAACTTGAAATTTGTACTTTGGACCTCCCTTTACCCATTTTGCCCATCCCCATGCCCTGCCAACACACCAATCTTTTCTCTGTATCTGTGGGCTAATTTTGTTTTTGTTTTGTTTTCAGATTCCACATATAAGAGAGATATAGTATTTGTTACTCTCTGACATATTTCACTTCGTATAGTACAGTCAAGGCCCATCCATGTTGTCAAAAACAGTGATATTTCCTTCTTTTTATGGCTGAATAATATTCCATTGGATACATACAACGTATTTTCTTTACCCATTCCCAGAAGTGGAATTTCTAGATCATGTGATAGTTCTATTTTTAATTTTTGGAGGAACCTCCGTACCGTTTTCCATAGTGGCTGCACCAGCTTACATTCCTACCATTAGTGCACAGGGTTTCTTTACATCCCCATCAACACTTCTTATTTCTTGTCTTTTTGATTCTAGGCATCCTAACAGCTATGAGGTGACATCTCATTGTGGCTTTGATTTGCATTTTCCTGATAATTAGTGATATTGAGCATCTTTCCATGTGTCTGTTTGCCATCTGTATGTCTTTAGAAAAATGTCTGTTCAGATCTTCTGCCCATTTTTAATTTTTTAGATTTTGCTTTGTTTTGCTATTAAGGTATATGAATTCCTTATATATTTTGGATATTAACCCCTTATCATATATATATGGTTTTCAAATGTATTCTCTCATTCAACAGATTGCCTTTTTACATTGTTCATGGTTTTTTCTTTGCTGTGGTCCCACTTGTCTATTTTTGCTTTTACTGCCTTTTCATTTGGTGCCAAATCCAAAATATCATCACCAGTACTGACATCAGGAGCCTATTGCCTATGTTTTCTTCTAGTTTTACAATTGTAGCTCTTATGTTCAAGTCTGTAATCTATTTTGAGTTAATTTTTGTGCATGGTATAAGATAGTGGTCCAGCTTACTTTTCTTGCATATGGCTATCCAGTTTTCCCAACAGCATTTCTTGAAGAGACTGTCCTTTCCATGCTTTATATTATTGGATCCTTTGTTAGAAAGTAATTGACTATCTATGTGATGTTTAGTTCTGGGCTCTCTGTTCTGTTTCATTGATCTATGTGTCTGTTTTTGTGCCAATACTATAGTGGTTTGATTACTATAGCTCTGTAGTATAGTTTGAACCAGGGAGCATGATACCCCCAGCTTTGTTCTCCTTTCTAAAGATTGCTTTTGGCTGGGGCTGGGGGGGGGGGGTGTATTTTGTGGTTCCATATAAATTTTAGGATTATTTGTTCTATTTCTGTGAAAAGTGCCATTGGAATTTTGATAGGAACTGTATTGAGTCTATAGATTGCTTTGTGTAGCATGAATATTTTATTTTATTTTTTTTAAAGATTTTATTTATTTATTTGAGAGAGAGAGAATGAGAGACAGAGAGCACGAGAGGGAAGAGGGCAGAGGGAGAAGCAGACCCCCTGCCGAGCAGGGAGCCCAATGCGGGACTCGATCCCGGGACTCCAGGATCATGACCCGAGCCGAAGGCAGTCGCTTAACCAACTGAGCCACCCAGGCGCCCGCATGAATATTTTAATAATATTAATACTTCCAATCTATGAGCATGGAATATCTTTCCATTTCTGTTTTCTTTTTCTCTCAGTGTCTTACAGTTTTTAGTGTACAGAGCTTTCATCATTTTGGGTAAATTTATTCCTAGGTATTTTATCCTTTTTTGATACAATTGTAAATGGGATTAAACAAATTTATCTGATAGTTCATTATTAGTGTATGGAAACACAATGGATTTTTGTATATTGATTTTTGTATCCTGCAACTTTACTGGATTTGTAGATTAATTCTAACAGCTTTTTGGTGCAGTTCTTAGGGTTTTCTATATATATAATAACAATCTATAAATAGTGACAGTTTCTTCCATTCTGATTTAGATGCCTTGTATTTATTTTTCTTGACTAATTGCTCTGGCTAAAACTTCTAATACTATATTGAAAAAAATGGAGCAAGGGTGGCCATCCTTGTCTTGTTCCTGATCTTAGATGAAAAGCTTTTAGCTTTTCACCACTGAGTATGATGTTACCTGTGGGCTCTTCATATATGGCCTTTATTATGCTGATACATGTTTCCTTTATGTCCACTTTATTGAGAGTTTTTGTTATAAATGGGTGTTGAATTTTATCCAGTATTTTTTCTGTACCTGTTGAAATGATCATATGAGTTTAATCCTTCATTTGGTTAATGTCATATTATTAGATTGGCAAATGTTAAACCAATTTTGCAACCCTACTTGATCATAATGTATGATCCTGTTAATGTATTGTTGAATTCAGTTTGATAATATTTTTTGAGGACTTTTACACCTATGTTTATCAGGGATATTGACCTGTAATTTTCTTTTCTTGTGGCATCCTTGTATGGTTTCAGTGTCAGGGTAATACTGGTATTTTAAAATGAGTTTGGAAGTTCTCCCTCCTATTTTTTAGAAAAGTTTGAGAAGGACTGGCAGTAATTATTCTTTAAATGTTTATTAGAATTCACTAGTGAAGGTTTCTGGTCCTGACTTTTATTTGTTGAGAATTTTTGATTATTGATTCCATCTCCTTGCTAGTAATTGATGTGTTTAGATTTTCTACTCATAATTCAGTCTTGGTAGGCTGTATGTTGTTAGGAATATATCAATTTCTTTTAGGTTGTCCAATTATTGACATATAATTGTTCCTAATAGTCTACTATGAGTAGGTCTGCCTTTTCATTTCTGATTTATTATGCAGTGCCCTTCTTTGCCTCTTATTAAGTATGTGTGTGTGTTTGTGTATAAAGTATGTATAGGAACCCTGGCTTTCTCTTGATTTCCATATGCATGAAATACATTTTTCCATCCCTTGACTTTGTGTGGGTGGGTGTGTGTCCTTAAATCTGAAGTGAGGGGCACCTGCGTGGCTCAGTCATTAATTGCCTGCCTTCGGCTCAGGTCATGATCCCAGGGTCCTGGGATCGAGCCCTGCAATGGGCTCCCTGCTCGTCGGGAGGTGTGCTTCTCCCACTCCCTCTCCCCCTGCTTGTGTTCCCTCTCTGTCAAATAAATAAAATCTTTAAAAAAAAAAACTGAAGTGAGTCTCTTCTAAGCAGCCTATAAATGGGTCTTTTAAAAAAAATCCAGGGGTGCCTGGGTGGCACAGTCAGTTGATATCGGACTCTTGGTTTTGGCTCAGGTCATGATCTTGGGGTCGTGAGCTAAAGCCCTGCATTGGCTCCATGCTCAGTGCAGACTCTGCTTGGACTCTCTCTCCCCTCTCCTTTTGCCCCTCCCCCCCGACTCTTTCTCGCTCCCTTTCTTTCTTTAAAATATTTTAAAAAATCCATTAAGCTACTCTGTCTTTTGATGGAGAATTTAATCCATTTACATTTAAAGTACTGGTAGGCAATGTCCTTACTGACATTTTATTTTCTGTATGTTTTGTAATTCCTTTGTTCCTTTCTTCTCTTGTTCCCTTCCTTTGTGATTTTATGATTTTCTTTAGTGGTACACTTTGTTTCTTTTCTCTTTATCTTTGGTGTATCTACATAGGTTTTTGCTTTGTGGTTACCATGAGGCTTATATATAACAACTTATAAGTCTGTTTTAAGTTGATAACAACTTAAGTTTAAACACATTCTAATGCCCTACATTTTTACTTTTCCCTCCCCAGTTTCTATGGTTTTAATGTCATATTTTACATCATTTTACATTTTTATCTTTTGTATTCCTTAACTGATTAATAATAAAAGTAACTATAGCTACCATATTGTCTTGTAACCCTCATACTAGCTTTATAAGTGATTAATCTACCACTTTTTCTATTATTATTCTGGATTTTATCTTATGTTTTTAAGTAATCTCTACACCAAACATGGGGCTCAAATTCATGACTCCGAGATTGAGTTGCATATTCTTCCTACTGAGCCAGGCAGGCATTCCTGGATTTCACTGTATATTTACCTTTACCCATGGGATTTGTACTTTCACATTTTCCCATTACTAATGGGTGCCCTTTTATTTCAGCTTGAATAAGTCCCTTTAACACTTTTTGTAAGTCTGGTTTAGTCTTGATGAACTCCTTTAGCTGCTGCTTGACTGGAAAACTCTCTCCCCTTCAATTCTGTATGACAACTTTGCCAAGTAGAGGATTCTTGATTGAAGGATTTTTTTTTTTTCAACACTTTGCAGGCCAGAGGGAATGAGATGATATATTCAAAGTTTCTGCTGAAAAATCTGATGGTCTTATGGAGTTACTTGTATGCAATAAGTTGCTTTTTCTTGCTGCCTGTAAGATTTTCTTTTCATCTTTAACTTTGACATTTTATGTGTCTTGGTGAGGGTCTCTTTGGATTCATCTTCTTTGGAACTCTGAGATTCCTGGATCTGGAATTCTGTTTTTTTCCACATGTTAGGAAATTTTCAGTCACTGATTCTTCAAATAAGTTTTCTGCCCATCTCTCTCTTCTCCTTCTGGGACCCCTATAACATGAATATCAGTCCATCAGATGTTGTCCCATAAGTCCCTTAAACAAGTTTTCCTTTTTTTTTTTTTTTAATTCTTTGTTCTTTTTCCTGTTCTGATTGGATGAGTTCCATGACCTTGGCTTTGATTTCATTGTTTCTTCTGCTTTACCTAGTTAGCTGTTGAAACCCTCAAGTTTTTCAGCTCACTTATTGGATTCTTAAGCTCTGTGACTTCTGTCATTATATTTTTTCTTTGTTGAATCCTTAGTTGTTCATGCATTCTCCTGAGTTCAGTGAGCATCTTTATGACTGTTATTTTGAATTTTTAACAGTTAAATCATATCTCTTTCATCAAGGACTTTTTATGAGGTTTTTATCTTGTTTTTTCATTTGGGACATATTCCTGTTTCTTCATATTCATGACTCTGTTGGTCTCTATGCATTAGCTGCCATCCCTCCCAGTCTTGAAGGAGAGACCTGTTTAGGAGATGAACCTTACCCTCCTACCCTTCTCTAGCTCTTGGTTGTCTCTCAAACCTTTGTGATTGTCTAAGCAACCTATTTTATTTCTGGTGGTTCCCTGTATTTGAAGGTATGCCAAGACCTGTCATGGCTCCTGGGGTGGGGTTGGGGGAATCTTAGCACCTAGACTCAGGCTCTTTGGAAGCCAAACCCTTAGGCAGCAGCTTTTGAAGTATGCAAATGTGTACAGTTCTGTGGGACCACAAGTATAATCTTGCTGGCCACAACAGCCAGACAATGTAGAAGTGTCCCCTGGGTGTCAGTCATAAAAAAAAATGGAGCAGCAGACAAGCATATAATTTCCTTTCTGAGAGTTGCTGGAACCCTGGAGTGAGGCAGAGGGAGAGTGCAAAGATGGTGTGCACTGACCTCTATCCTTGGCATTCCTACCTCTTTAGGCCCCTAGCTCTGTACCAGACCCTATGTGTGCCCCTCTGGCCAAAGCTCCAGGACAAGCAAATAGGCCTCTTTAACAAAAGAATGTGGTGTGTTTCAGTCTGCTACCTGTGTTGTGTCCTGGGGGTGTAGCCAGACAAGAACTCTCTTTCAGATTGTTACCACAGCTGGGTGATCAAGAAGTGTCTCCTGGGCAGCAGCCACAAAAAAAACCCAAAACAACAAGGCACCAGACATGCATATATAGGCTTCTGGTACTTTGGAACACGGCCAAAAGTACAAAGATAATGCCTGCCTTCTGAGGTCTCTGAAAAGGATCAGTCAGCCCTGAGATGTGTGTTTAATCTGAAGATAAGCTAACAGGCCTTTTTCACAGAAAGACGGGCTCTTGGGTCTGTTGCCTCTTGCTGTGTCCTGGGGATGGTAGCTGGGGAAGAGTTCTTTCCCCATTGGTTAATAATAGGTGATTGATGCACTTAGGAAAGTATATACTGTATATACTGGACAACACAGTGATTAAGTTGGCCTAGAGTTGCATTTTTGAGGACGTAATTTATAAGCTGAGTTGTTTGACAAGTATTAACTCTGCTGGTGATGTGTTAGATGGCTAGAGAATATGAAATCAAAGAGCTTTTATCTTCTGAAGATTTACAATTTTGAATTAATAGGAATCATACAGGTAGTGAGTGAGGTGGCAAGGAGGATAACCCGTTTGCTGAACTGTTAAAATATCAAATTCTTCACCAGGTGGTAAATAGCAGTTATTCCCAGAACTGCTCTATTTGCTCTACCCTGCCTGCCCTCAGTATCACCTCCAAACCCCTCTTCTGTGGGCCCCAGAATTTACTGTTTTCTAGCAACTAAAGGGTCAGTGCCCTTAAGCACTCTCTCTCAGTATTTTACATATAATCCCAGCGGATGCAGTTTGCCTAGAGACAAAAGAAGTTACAAACCTTAAAATAGTAATGAGTATTCAGTAAACTGAAGTTAAAGGCCAGAGCATAAAATACAAGTTGGGGAATAGAGAGAAATGGAATTGATAAGGGTTCAACAAGATTTTAAGCCAATCTACTTTTAAAAACAATACTTTTGATTATACATAACCTTAGTACATAAGTACTCACTGATATTTGTTGAATGAGCTACTATAATGCTAATTAATTATTAGTAACAGCTGCTGTTAATATACATATGGTTTTTTTTTACTCTTTGCATTCCTGGCCACTAAGGAAGTTTGCATCCACATTTGCAAGAATAAATATAGACTTGTATGAAGGAATTTACCTCCTTTCCTCTGCAGTTACAGGATCTATTATGTGATTACCCCACTTTCCAATTGGTGATTTCAGTATTTACAGATGTAAACACTGAAAATCCTTGGGGGGCGGAAATCAAACTTGGTCAACGAGGACTGACTTTTTTTCATTTCACTCGGAACATTTTACCAAATAGTGACTGAATACTGATAGTTTTATTCATCAATGTGAACAGGCAGGCAAGAGATAGCTCAGAAGTTTTGATTTAAAAGGGCTAATAAGAAAGGTTTAATTGTATGGAAGTATTAATGGAATTGGTTCTCCTTTAATTCCTTGCTTAAAAAAAAAAGATAAAATATTCCTTATTAATGGAGGTACAGGTTAAAGGATAAATACCCAAAACAGTACCTGAGGAAATCACTGTTTTATTTTTACATCACAGTGTACTGTTCTTCTTAACCAGGAGTCACTGCATTGTATATACTGTCAATTGCAGTATAATTCCCATCACTATGTTTTTTCATGTTCTCACTTAAGAGTAAATGACATTACTAAATTATTTTCATCAAACATTAATTTTCATATTCCCAAAGGTCTGCAATTTTTTGGCATTAAACAATAGGGTATTACAATTAAACACAAAATCAGTTGCTATTTAATACTATGTAATATTTTAAAACTCTTTAATAATGTGGATCATTTCATTTGAAACAAGCTTTGCCCTTCTGAAGGCTCCTCCTCTCCACCCCTTCTGCAATGGGTGGTGGGGGCCTCCCAATGCCAGCAGCTGAGGGAGCTCCATGCCATCATTCCTCTTCTCTCTGAACAGGCAAGCGCTCTGGAGGAAGAACAGATTCCAATTTCTGCCAGCGCTCTGGAGGCCACAGGATGTGTGTAGCATGGGCATGTAGAAGTCCTAGAGAAACCTAAACCCATGAGAGACACACAGAAAGCAAGAAATTATTTTATCAGAATTATCATTAATATCTTAAAGACAGAATTTGATCCAGGTCTGAAATTCCTTGGAAAGATGATGATTAAAAATAGTAAACATTTATATGGCACATTTCTAGGTGCTTTATATACCTAAACGCCTTTAATTCCTCACAACCATTTGAGGTACGTATTACGCCCCATTTGCATAGGAGAAAACTAAAGTCGGGTTGGTTAAAGAACTTGCCAAAAGTCCTACAGCAACCAGTTGGTGGAGGCTGGCTTCAGGGCTGAGCTGTCCAACCCCAGAGTCTGCAACCTTAACCCCCATCCTCAGTTTGTAAATACCCAGGGAGCATAAGTCTGGTTTTCATTCTCGGAATTTCCTATGGAGTTACTAGTATTTTAGAGAAACTTTACTTTGTGGATAAGTCAGAGACATGAGGAAAGTATTGTCCCACCGACTGAATGAGCAGCAACAGTTTGATGTGAGACTAAGGCCTTCCTTGGAAACTATATGGAGCAACAGGGAACTGGTGATCACAGAGGGAGGTGGAAAACTAAGGGAAAGCCAGCAATGGGGGATAGGAAGCAATGAAAAAGAATCAAGTGTAAAGATGACAGGTGGCGAAGAACCCCCCTCAGCAGATATGTGCCCATTTAGGAGAAGGAAACTAGAGGGAAGCACTAAGGCTGAGCCCTGAAAAGGAAGGAGCCCTTAAAGACATTTTAGGGCTCCCTAGGGCCATCAGCTGCAGTGAGCAGAAGAATGCCAGCAAACCTGTTTAAAATGCAGATCAAGGAAGGCCCTATTCTCAGATTACCCTTCAAATGAGGCAGGATCTGGAAATCTGTGTCTTTTGTGGTTGATGCTATTGTTGTTACTATTAGGTAATATGTTAACAGTATTTAAAAACTTACAAAATACAGTTACTTAACCAGATACTATGGGTCCACTTTATATTTTCAAATGTTTTTCCTATAAATTGGAGCTCCACAGAGATTAACAGATGAGTGCTTTCATTGAAGTTCTATTTACTAGCATATGCATGCAAGAAATCACATTGGACAGAGAGTTAAAGAATTGGATGTCAAGTGAGGGACTCTAAAAAGATAACTAGAAACACATTTTTTTTTTTTGAAAAACAAACACACTTCACAACAACTTGGAATACAAATAAAATAAGCCCAAAGGCTATCAAGAAGCCCAGGGGCCCAATAAAGAATATTACTTTGAAAATCAAACCTACAGAAAATTTGAAAATGTGGTGGGGAAAAAAAAAGAGCAAGCTCTATTCATCCAAATTCACTAGTTATTTTTATTTTGTTACTTCCTCCTTGGATGCCTTTCTGTATATATATACTTTTCTAATGAACCATTGGAAATTTGCTCACATTCCGAATTTACCCCTAATATTTCCACGTGTCTCCTCAAAACTAAGACTCTTTCCTACATAAACAAATACATTGTAAGTTATATATAGCCAATATTCAGAATTTTCCAATTGTCCCAATAATGTCTTTTATAGCTGTTTTTTAAATTCTTAATCAAGGATCAAAAATTGCATCATAATTGTCATTATTTTTGTTTAGGCCTGTTGCCTTATAAGATGGCCCACATTTATAATTGCTTGATTTTTCCCCTCCTGAAAAGATTCAAGTTAAATGTTCTTGGCAAGAACACAATGTACTTGATAATGCATTCTTCCTACTCTGTCATATCAGAAGGCACAAAATATCTGTGTGTCCCATTCTTGTGATGTGAAGTTTGATCACTTGGTTAAAGTGATATTGAACAGATTTCTCCTCTGTAAACAAATCATTTTCCTTTTATAATTAATAACGAATCTCTGGGATGATATTTTGAAATATGTAACTATCCCATGTCAACATTTCATCTAATCAGTTTACTGTCTCTCAAGGAAGCTGGTTTCTAAACCATCTAATGATTTTAACATCCATCAATGATCCTCCTTGAATCAGTTATTACATTGATGATTACAATAGTGAGTTTCCAAACTTATTATTCCTTTTATATTTACTAGCTGTCATTCTTCTCTAAAGTGATTCCCCTTCCAACCCCAAATGCCTCTTTTAATATCAAATATTTCTTCTTTATTTCACAATCTCTTATGAGTTCTTGGTTAAACTTGGACAGGTCTCCATCAGTCCTTGAGCACTTCCTTACTTTTTGGTACCAACTCGATGTTGCAGGCTTACTTGTACTTTATACCTGTTCAGCCTGAAATCAGACATCTCATTAAGGAGGGTTTTCCCTCACCTTCCCCCATTCCGTATTTCTCTCTCTCTTCTTCTAGACTTAGCACTCTGGCTCCCAACCACAGATTTACTGAGTAAACATCAAGGTTTCTTTGCAACTAGTTTAATCCTTAAAATACATCTCACTTAAGGGTATATTTATTGGAATTTGTCCTTTTCCTCCTCCACAGCGTAGCTGTATTAAGTACTGTTACGTTTGTTTCTATTTGTATTCAGTTTTAGTGGGCTTTTGTTATCCTTTTTGATTGTTATTTTTGAATTTATAAAGATTTCCATGGTTAAAAAGTTAAAATTATTCTTAAAACGTAAGGTAGGCAGAATGCCCCCTCTAACACACACTCCAAACATGTCCATATCCTAATCCCCAGAAGGTATGAATACACAATGCTACAGAGCAAAGAGGATTAAGGTTACAGATGGACTTAAGGTTGCTGATTAATCAGTGGATAGTAAGATAACGAGACTATCCTGTAACATTCCATGAACTGAAATGTAATCCTAAGAACCCATAAATGCAGATGAGCTAGGCAGAAGGGTTAGATTCAGACAGAGATGTTATACTGCTGGATTTTGAAGATGAGAAAAGGGCCATGAGCCAAGGGATGCAGGTGGCCTCTAGAAACTAGCAAGGACACGGATTATCCCCTAGAGCTTTCAAGAATAAATGAAGCCTTGCTGATACCTTGATTTTAGCCCAGTGAGATCTATATTTGACTCATGACCTCCATTACTCTAAAATAAAGGTTGTTTTAAAGCCACTATATTTGTGGCAATTTATTATACTAGCAATGGGAAACTAATACAAAAAATATACACAAATTACATTCCCATCCACTACCACACCTCTAAATGATTAACTGTTTTCATCAGAATATTTTTCTTTTTTGGAAAAAGAAACCGAAATATACACTCTTATTTCCCTTTTTTCTCACATACCAAAGGTAGAATATTACACATTCCCTTTTGCACTTTGCTTTTATTCTCACCAGTATCTCCTAGAAACCATTTCCTAACAAACACTTCATAGAAAGGGAGCCTATGGTTTTTATAACTCCCCTCCCTTTAGTGATTCTGATTAACTTCATTGGAAGTCCAGGATCTGAATTTGCCACATAGCATCACACCCAGAAAAAGCAAACTTAGCCAATTTTAAAGAATCCTTTAAATATATTCTGGAACAGGCTAAGTAACCATTCCAACCATGTTAACTGCGAGGAGCCTAGGTCTAATGGTCTGTCATAGTGAAGTTTTTATCTGGGCTCAGTGGAGCTCTCAGTGGAGCTATAGGACAGCTGGTCTCCATCCTCTCAGTCACCCTTTTTTAGATTTGATAGCTGCTACTTGGTTGTTCCTCAAGCCTTTATTTGCTGTTCCAAGTTCTTTAACTTTTCTCATATGGTTGATTTTCCAGGACTCCTGCCAATATATTTGCTTATTTGCTTGGTGATTCAATTTTGTTTAATCAACCTTCATTTTACTAAAACCTAGGATTCTTTCATTCCAAACATTTATTAGGTACACTACACACTTCCTGAAAAAGACAAAAAATCTCATAGATGTAGAGTATTAGTATTGTATGCAAAATTTAAGCATTTCTTTAAGAGACTAATAAACAGAGTGCCTATGTATTCTAGCAGTCTTGTCACAGATCTTTATTAGTATGTATTCAGACATGTGAAGAGCATAGTGAACACAGGACAGAGAAAATCCAGAAATAATCCAGAAGTAAAAGAACTTAAAAATTAAAAGCTATACCTCAGGTATAGCTTTGGTTTCCACACATACTGTATTAAGCAGGGTCCTCCAGAGAAACAGAACCAATAGGATATGTGTTTATATAGAGAAATAAATTTATTTAAAGGATTTAGGTCATGCAGTTATGGAGGCTTGGTGAGTTCAAAATCTATCTAATGTGGAAGACCAGAAGGCGGAAGACTCAGGAAACAGTTTCAGTTTAATTTCAAAAGCAGTCTGCTGGCAAATCGTTTATTGCTTGGGGTAGGGTAGCCTTTTGTTCTATGCAGGCCTGCAACTGATTGGATGAAGCCCACCCACCTATTGGAGAACAAAATGTTTTACTCAGAGTCCTCTAATCTAAATGTAAATCTCGGCCCAAAACACTATTAAACCTTCAAAGGGCTGGGCACCAGAGCCTATCTAAACTGACACATAAAATTAACCATCACACCCGACAAATATAACCCTCCTTCTGCTTACTCAGGGTTACATTCCATGCTTACTGCACACCCAGGGCAGTGTTCTGAATGACTTAGGCATCCTAATGCATTTAATCCTCACAATAACTCTGTGATGCAGGTTCTATTATGATATCCATGGTGGAGGAAACCTAGGCATAGCACGAGATTTTTTTGAACCAAGACTGAAGTGTATGCCCTCTGGCTCTTGAGCCTCTTTTATCAGGATCCATCTTATTATTTATTTTCCAAATGAGACACTTTGACCATGAAAGGGGGCACTTTTTAAATTAAGTCAGGATAATAGTAAAATGGAGCTGTCCTGGACAAATCAAGATCAGGTCAACTTAATCATATTGCTGTCCCACATACCCTCTTGAAACACCTAGATTGATCAAAAGGAAATGACTGTTATGAGCTGTATTGTTTCTGCAAAACTCATATATTTAAGCCCTAATCCCCAGTACCTCAGAATAGGACTGTACTTGGAAATTGTTACCTCTTTAAATGTTCTAAAT